CACAAGTCTAGAATAAACATGAAATAAATAAAAAGGGGGTTTTTGATTTGATTGAGATATAACCGAAACTAAACAAATTAAATTCAGAAAATGAGTTTAAAATAAATATTCAAGTAAACAAACCTTAGTTCGGGTAACATCTACTCGTTGAAACTTGAGATTTATCCTTAGTGCAAGAAATATCGATTCCCTTTCAAATATTTATTGTGATATTGAAATCAATCTTTCCTCACGATTAGCCAATTAGAAACATGTATTCTAATCAACTCTCATTATTTAACAATCCTAGATACGATATAAGATTTAATCAAACAATGGCTTTATGTATTAGAAGATCAACAAAGCAAGACAACACAACACATATAATTGCATTTAATCCAGTTGAACAATCCTCCTAAGAGTCATTAGTTTCGACGCAAGCAAGTCATACACTCCTAGTTGCTACACAAATCAAAGGGATTGAACAATTACGGATTCAATATTCGATCTAGCTATAGATTATCTAAGTTAATAAACTAATTATACACATTAGAAATTAACCTAAATAATCATGAAAATAAGCATAGAAGAAAGTTCAATACTTGAAATAAATAAACCGATTTATATTAATGTTTAACCACCTCAAAATCTTTGATTTCTAAAAATTCGATTACCTTCACTAGGGAAAAGGGTTTATCCGCTCATGGCAGCCGCCATAACATGAGAGAGAGAATAATAAAGCTCGCTCGTACTATAAAGAATATTATCAAAAGTTGTCGCCCTAGTCCGTTAGGTTCCTATTTATACGGAGTTGTCTATTTTTCAAAAAGGGTACACAATATTCTCTCCTCTTTTGATAGGTCGTCATCTTTTTTCTAGTAAATCACGAGTAAATTTTGCTTCTTTCGAAGTCCGTTGTCCGTTCTCGCGATTTCAACGTGCCCGAGTCAAGTTGCAACGTGCCCACGCCTTCATGCCCTTATGCATCTATGTCTATCGCATCCGCATGCCCACGTTTCTTGTGCTAGTGTGTCCACATTTGTCGTATTAGCATGACCACGCTACTATCTTTAACGTGCCCACGCTTCTTGTGCTTTCCAGTGGCTGAATTGGTTCTACTCGTAAATTCTCTTTATATGATTCTTTTAACGCTCTTTTTCAATCAGTTCCACACCTAGCATATAGAATACAAAAATAGTTAAGGTTTATCATTTGAACATCTCAAAATATTAAAATACAAGAAAATTTAGTAATTTAAACACATGTTTTAAGCATTATCGAGTAATCGACTCGAAGGACAATGGACAAAAACAACCTTAGATAACATGTTGCAAGTTCTCGAGGCTAAATTTGGGAATCACATCCAAAAGAACCATATTAAGAATAGACAAAAGACATTGAAGATAACTTTTAGTGAGGTGAAAGACTTATTTCATAGTGCAAGTGGATTTGGTCGGAATCCCGAGACAAAGACTTTTGAAGCAAGTATCGAGGTTTGGAGAGAGCTAATTCAAGTGACTATCATATATAACTTTTATGAATATATTACTTTCAAAGTATATGATAAATTACTCTTAATGTGTAGGCAAAACCGAAGCGCAAAAGTGGATTCATCATCAAATCAACAACTATGATAAATTGTATCGGATATATAGCCAAGATAGAGCTACTAGAGAGGGTTCGCAAGTGTTAGAGAGAGGGTGATGATGTGAGAAAGGGAAGGTTCATGGAGCCAATTTGATCTCAATGAGGACAATAACGTAACATCGGATAGCGAAACAAATTGGGGGAATCAAGTGCCAAGCTACAATGCAATGTTAACTTCTATACTCCCGAGTATGTAGCTTCGCCCAATTCTGAAAAAACAAACTCATCTAGAGGCACTAAACGTAAATCTCATATGGTGGAAGCAATTTAGAGTCAATCTAAAATGGTGTGTTTAGGAATGAAAGAAGTCTTCGAAGTAATGAAGGAAGGAAATGCAATTACAGAGAAGTCGTTGGAAATTTTAGAAAGGGGCAATGCATTACTAGAAGAAGGAAACTTCATTGCACAAAGGTCATTGACCATTTTAGAGAGGGGACGTCAAAATTTTTTTCCATGAGGATGAGATATTCACCGAGCTTGAAGCGATAGGATTGCAATCTAGCTTCCAAATGAGTGCATATCGCTTTTTGGTCGATAATGCGTCACTTACAAGACAATTCTTTGGGTTACCTCGTCATAAAAGACTTGAATTTCTAACATAGTTGATGGGTGAAAGAAATGGTCGATGAAAGTAAGTTAATCATACGCAAGTTAGAGTATAATTTGTTATTTTTTTCAATTGTTTCAAATTTATTGAACTTGCAAACTGTTCCCTTATTGTTACTCGATGTACACTTCTGCTTCCTCGTTTTTTTTTAATTTTGTAATTGGGCTACTTGTGTGCGTAATCAATTGGTGAAGTATAATGTAAGGGAACTTATTCGAATCACACTTGAATTTTTGTTGTATTGTGATGTTCAAGTGTATTTAGCGGCTATTATATGTGAATGTTGTCTTAAATTATAATGACTTAACTAGAAACTCATGTAACTTGTTTGTGGTAGCTGAACAAATTGATGCTAAGACTTTCATAATTATTTATAATGTGTATATACAACTTGATCCTATAACTTACCTAATTATATGTAGTACTTGGGATAGTGTATGTAAACTTGTATTGTGATGTTCGTATCCTTTCTTTGTCAAATAATTTAGAGTTTTCATTTATCCATCCTCTGATCTAAGAGTTATTACTCACATAGAGGAAATGAATTTGTAATTAATTTTTTTTTACTAGGCTTAATTGATAGGATCATGGGTAGTGCTTGTGAATGCATCAATTTTCATCTAAAATTTGACGTCTACTAGGATTTATAATCATATAAGAAAATCAAACCCATAACTTGAGGGTGATAAACAAGTAAAAATCCAAGCTAAAACTTGGGAGCCATGATTTATTTTTGCATATTAGCTTATGACTCTACATAAGAAATTGTCATCATTTCATTCCTTAACCCTTTCACATTTTTTGATCTAGTACTTGGGAGACCCAACAACTCCCTTAAAGCACCAAAATTAGCTCTCAAAAAGCTATAAACAAGCCCCAAAACACCCTAAAAAATGGCCTCAAAATAGACCCAACACCTACCCAAAGCCCCCAAACTCAGCCACGAAATAGTTACCAACGACCCCCAAAACCCTTACGGAGTAACCCCTTTGGACAGAGTTATTTGAACCACCAAAGCAGCTCCAAAAACACTCGTAAACCAGCTTCAAAACCACCCAAAAAATCCCAAAAACCCCTCAAAAAATAGGCCTAAAACCAACCCCAAAATAGACCTAACACCTACACAAAGCCCCCAAACTCAGCCACGAAATAGTTACTAACAACCCCCAAAAACCCTTACAGAGAAACCCCTTTGAACAAGTCATTTGAACCATTAAAGTAGCTCCAAAAACACCCACAAACCAGCTTCAAAACCACACAAAAAACCCCTCAAAAAATAGGCCTAAAACCAACCCCAAAACAGACCCAACACCTACCCAAAGCCCCCGAACTCAACCCTAAAAATGTTACCAACAGACCTCCCTAAAACCTTACAGAGCAACCCCTTTGGAAAGGTCATTTGAACCACCAAAGCAGCTCCAAAAACACCCACAAACCAGCTTTAAAAAACCCTAAAACACCTTAAAAAAAAAGGCCTAAAACCAACCCCAAAACAAACCCAACACCTTACCCAAAGCCCCCAAACTCACCTCGAAACTATTACCAATGACCCCCTAAAACCCTTACAGAGCAACCACTCGGATAGGTCATTTGAACCACCAAAGAAGATAAAAAAAAAAAAAAAAAAAAACCCAAACCAGCTTCAAAAAACCCCCAAAAAACCCATAAAAAATAGGCCTAAAACCAACCCCAAAACAGACCCAACACCTACCTAAAGCCCCCTAACTCGACCCCGGAACCGTCACCAATAGCCCCCAAAGCCCTTATAGAGCAACTCTTTTGGACAGAGTCATTTGAACCACCAAAGAAGCTCCAAAAACACCCCCATACCAGATTCAAAACCACCCAAAAAAACCCACCAAAACGGACATAAAACATGCCCCTCGAATACTTTTTGGAGTTACTGCAAAAGAAGAAATAAAAATTATTATTAAAAAAAAAGGCTAAATATATTTTTGTGTCTTGGATTGTTGGCATCCACAACATGATGTTGTAGGTTGTATTTGATTGAGTCTTTTTGACGGAAAAATAAGCTTACCTTGGGCTTTCGGGAACTTTGCAAATTTTACGAGTAAATTTGGAGTGTTCACCCGAGTAACGGGTTATGCCTATCTGTCCAAATATGCAATTTATCTCATTTTTTGTGATTCAATTGACCTTCCATGATTGTTCGCAATGCTATAATATAATCTCTCTTTTTTAATTGCTAAATAGTAATTTTTTAATCCAAAAAAAAGTCGAGAAAATGATGGGTAAAAACAATTAACTTATTATATGCATAGATAATAATACATGTTATACATATTTAAATCAATTTTATGTTGATAATTAATCTAAATTGGCTATTGAATTAATTAATTAATTAACGAGTTATCGATTATTCTATGGAGACGATTCATTATCCATCTTATCATTTCGGATAAATGTTACATGCTAGATTTTTATTTTATTATCATTTGTACTATTTTCATGAAAAAAAATATTCATAAAAATTTATTATAAGTATTTAAATATAGAAATATAATCATAGGGGTATTATAGTAAATATACAATAATATATTTTTTTCCTCCATCTTTTTACAATTATCCAAACAAGAAAAATATATATTTTTTTCTTTTATTTCTACTCTTATCCAAATAAAAAGTGAAAATATATATATATATTTTTTCTTTCCTCCTAGGAGGAAATATCCAAACAAGGGGCAAAGGAAAATGAGAAGTGTACCAAACAATTTTCTGTTCAGCTATGACAGAGTAGTGTTTGCACATGCAAGTCCAACTGTTGATGATTGTTCATCATAGAAATTTGGTCTCCCTCATTGCTTATTGTGATGAGCATGGAAACATGGCACTTGTTTATGAATACATGGCTAATGGGAACTTGCGCGAGCATTTATCAGGTAGGTACAAAACTATTCTCATAAGCTTTACAGTTTCAGATCACAACATTCTTCTAATTTTGGCAAAAACTGGTTTACAGATAGAAGTTTCCTTTGGCCTGTGCTGTTTCTGCCCTCCAGTGATGAGCTTTTATGTGTCACTAAAGATGGTTCATTTTTTAAATATATATGCATGTTAATATGTTTTCTGGATTCAGAAAAGAGCACAAATTTGTTGAATTGGAGAGAAAGGCTTCAAATTGCAGTAGACGCAGCACAAGGTCTGATTTTAATAGTTCAATCTTTTTTCTTCACTTTCATTCCGTTAACTTCGTTCGGCTAATTAGGTTCAGCCAAGTTACAGGTTTGGAATATCTGCATAACGGTTGCACGCCACCAATAGTCCATAGAGATTTGAAAACATCCAACATCTTGATCCTGAGTGAGCGTTCAAACGTTATGTTTTGTAGGGTAAATTTATGAGTCTAATCTTAATCTTATCTCATAGTGTTTATTATCCTACCCAAATTATTACATTATCTATGCAGATTTCGTTCATCAGGAAACTTAAATAAGAAGAGTGATGTTTACAGCTTTGGTATTCTTCTACTTGAGCTACGAAGAGTGCAACACTCACATCCTTCAATGGGTCAGTCCTCTAATTGAAACCGGGGATATCCAGAGCATTATTGACCCAAGGTAGCAAGGTGAATTCAGCACAACTTGTGCTTGGAAAGCTCTGGATGTAGCATTGTCATGCGTGCCCCAAACTGCAGTACAAAGGGCGGACATGAGTTATGTTTTGATAGAGCTAAAGGAATGTTTGGCCATGGAGGTGTCATCTGAAAGGACACTTACACAGAATAGGTCGACCAGAATGCGCGATTCCATTGAAATGAACTTGGTTCTTGTAACAGATATGGCTCCACATGCTAGGTAGTTAATGAACAAGAATTTTTAAAATCCAAACCCTAACCTTTATTTATTTATTTATTATTATTTTTTTGTATTACACATATTTATGCGTGAATGTCATACAAAAGATATTGGAAGAAACTAAACAAAAAGCACAAAATAATGTTGATTTATTTAGCTTCATCCAATTCTCACATAATGACATTGACATGGGATTAATGCATTTCTAAGAAGATCATAAATGACAAAGCCGAAGATGAGATATTGGAGAAAATTAAACAAAAATTACTAAAATTTCCATTTTGTTTAATTCCCTCCAATCCTCGCGTACGACTTCTTCACTGGCTGGAAATGTATTTTATTTTAATTTTATACCCAACTGTACCTAAACTTGGTTTGAGTGAGAACAAAATTCATGTTTTCGTTTTCCTTTTAATGGTTGAGCCCAGCTTTTTCCTCAAGATTTAATATATATATATTTTTTAATATAGACTTATTAGATAAAATTAAATACTCATTCAATATAAATTTACTTAGCATCATCTTGTAATTTCATTTAAAAAATCAAACAATTGTATTTTTTTTTTATCAAAATCAAACATATTCATATTATATATTTAAACTTAATCATGAAATATAAATATTTTATTAAATATTGTTTAATATATATTCAAGTAAATAAATTCTCACAATTAATTTCAATTAAATTTTATTTTATAACTAATTTTTTAATTATTTAAAATATTAAAATATACTATATTGATTTACCTGCAGCAACCCATCAAAACCGTGTTATCATGTTATAAAACTCATATAACCATTCTTCTCCTTTAATTTAACCCCATGAACTCATATGCTCTTTTGTCTTTTTAGCTCCAATTTTTTTTTTTTTTTTAAACTCGTACATTTAAAACTTTTAAGATTTAAATTCATAATTTATTTTACAAAAAATTTGCACATCTCTAAAATCAAACTTGAACAGTATATTCAATAGTGACTTGAGAAATTGATATATTTTTTCTACTTGAAAGTTTTTTTTTTCCTTGGTACTTTAATTCATAAATTTATTATTGTATACTAATTATGGTAGAATTTTAAAGCGAAAGTTGACATGGGACATCTAATTGTGGAGTGCAGATGGACCAGGTTCATAATTAGTAGTTCCAGAAGTCTGTTTGAAAAGACAAGCTGACGTTGTAGCTTTAATAGGTCACAATTATATTTTGCAAATCCAATTGTAAAAAGTTAATTCAGAACTGCACAGTCTGGAATTGATGGTTGAAAGTCAGACCCAAATTTCAGACTCTGTTATTGATTTGACTCACAGATCATGTCCTACACAAAACAAGGGGGAGAATTATTTGTTTCCAAAGAGTTGATGGTATTTTGTTCATTTACAATTGCTTAGCAGCTCAGGATAATATTTATGAAAAACAAATAATGAAGTAAAAGCGTTTATTTCTTCAGAATAAAGTTTTATCTTTGGTTATTATTAAGTTTCTGCAAAATGATTTTCAAATATATAAACTATTATTTTAAAAACTCCATACAAATTGATGGGTAAGTAATAATAGCTACTCTAGTCGTAGATCTGCCCTTTCCTAGTCTATCTCTCTCTTTGGAAAAGTAGATGTAAGACTTCTAGCACTCTGATTTCTTTGCTTGCTCTCTTATTGAGTGGTTCCACTTCCTTCTTTAGCTCTCTATCTTCACCCACTAGGGTATGGAGTTTTTAGATTTTTTTTTTTTTTTTTTTTTTTTTTTTTTTTATATCCTTAATTCTCTCCTTGCTCTTAATTAGTGAATCGCCCAAAAGAAGGGAAAAAAAATCCTGGAAAACTTACCAATATATAATATCAATAATGTCGAGATGGAGTATATCTAGTACCATTGTTAGGAATATTGGGCAGAATTTAGAACAAAAAATGATGTAAAATGTAACGCAAATTAATGAAACATAAACTTAATACGAGTAACTTGAATTTCCATCTTCGCATGGGCAAAGATGACAAGATTTTTCAATAAGCAACGAGAGGATTACAACAAAAGTTCAACGATCAAATCTTAAAGCCCAAAACCGTTATGTCATCAAGTGCATCAACAAAGAGCAACACAAATAGGCGACCCGCGAACATGAAAGGGATACTAAAAATCTCAAAACCTCATTACACAAATCTATCTCATAATGATTTTATCTATGTTAGAATATATCTCAAATTAAATAATTAAATTAATAATAAATAATATATAAAGTTGAAAATGGATCACTCATCATAAGATTTAAGTCTTTTAGATGAAACTTAATCTCAATTATTTAACTTAATATAGTATCAAATCACTCATTACAAGGTTTAAAGTTTTTTGAATGAAACTCAATCTCAACTATTCACCCATCACAAGACTTAAAGTCTTTTAAATGAAATCCAATCTCAACTATTTAATTTAATAATCTATCACGAGAAATCCAACTTTCATTTAAAAAAAAGAAAAAGAAAAAAAAAGGTTTTAATCCTGTTATGTCAAGCGGTCACAAAGCCATTAAATATAAGAAAGGTTTCAGAATAGTTAGGCGCACCATAAACTACCATATTTCATTCAATTTAAGCCCCATACTTCCTAACATAGGTACTTTTTTTCGGTCAACATTGGAGTTCTATTAAAGATGGGCGTTCATAACAATAACAATGGAGACAATTCTTCGGGAAAAAAAAAAAAAAAGTCCAGACAAGTATCCCAGATTTTCTGTCTTATGAGATGGTCAACCAATAATATGTCACATGCCTCAAGTTTGTTTGGTTCAGTCTTTCCCAATTACATTATGCCTTATTTCTGCTGACAAAAGCTTGAACGCAATTTTAGTTCAAAGCCGTTCTCTCTCTCTATATATATATTCGGATTAAATTTTTCATCAAACAAAACTAAATTCATTATTTTTTTAGATAAATTAATATAAAATTATATCTAATTTTTGATCGATCCTAAAAAATAAATTTTTTGAATCCATCGAAGTTCATATTTAACGACATACAAAAGAGAATGTGAAGTTTTTCAAAAGTGAAAATCAATTCTTAATCTATGAGTTAAAGACATTTTTCTTAACATTTATTGTTAACTAAATATATTATTACAACATACAAGTAAATTTAATTTAACGGTTGTGTATTCAATTAATTTCTTTAGTAAAATAAGGTTTGAGTCCTGATTATATAATGGGAAAAGCTACCTCTATTATGAAGCCAATAGATCCATGGTACTCTGATGAATAATAATAATAAAAAAAAAGGCTATTAATATGAATGACAATTAAATATAGAGATCTAATGGAATTAGTGACTTGCCGTCCTTGCTTTCCTATTGGCTAACTATTTTCGGTTGCTTTGTTTAGGTCATTCAAGCAACGCAAATCAAGCTCATTTTGGGAGGAAATGATATTATAGAGGATTTGAGAGAAGTTGGTAAGTACTGATTAGTACATACCAACTTACCAAGTCAAAATAAGATTGCTTCATAGGATGAATTGATAATTCTGATGCACTATATAACAAAACACTGCACTATGATATTTGATAATTTATTAATTTTTATTTTGATTTTGATATTTTTAGTGCGAAACTTTCGTTTCTAATGACCAAACCACATCTAATGTCTTTACATGCCATGTTGTTGAAATGGTAAGTCAAGATGATGAAATGGCACTAGTAGGCCTATGTCTTTACATGCCGCGTTGTTGAAATGGTCAAGGATACGATAAACGAATTAAAAATAGCACAAAAGAAGCTAGAAAAATTGCTAAGTTTCTTCTTTAGCTAGTTTGGTATACCATCAATGTTTCTAGATAACTTCAACGCCAATTTGTCAAAAACACTCTAAGCTTTTACTTCTGATCAACACGATGAGTGTTAGAATGAATTGATCAATACTTATCCAATTCCGCGTTGAAGTCTAGATAATATATATATATTTTTTTCTTTTTCTTTTTTATGGTTACGGTAATCAAGAACGAGCATTTGTTTTTTGTTTTTTTTTTTAACATTTTAGTTTGGTTTTTAATTAATTGAGCCCAAATTAAATTTATATTCAGTTTTCGGTTTCAATTTTTTTTTAAGTAAAACTGAATTTTAATGTTTAGAGTATTTTTTATTATTATTATACAAAAATAAAATTTTTAACCAGAAGATTGAAAACAAATCCATACGAAAACATCTCTCTCTCTTTCTCCTTCTCCTGCGCCTTCCTTTCTCTCTCATCTCCTCTTAATCTCAGCGATCTAGCACTGCCGCTTCTTAAATGCGAACAATATTACTACTCACTTTCCCTAGAGTTGAATTCCCACCTCAACCGATCGCAGCTCTCCTCGTGTATTTTTAAATCATTGAGTTACGACAATTTAAGATTTATACTGTCACTTTGGCTTAGAGTTTAAACTATTATTTTTTTAGGCAAATGGTATTTTTTATTTATTATTTATCATAGTCCAAAGGTTAAATATTAACTGAAGTATAGTTTAAGAATAAAATTTATTTTCAAACTATTAGAGTTATAAATCAATTTGTGTCATTTAAATTCTAAATTATTAGTTTTTTTAGTTATTATTGGCTATATTTTATCATATGTGTTTACGTGGTATATTAAGACTTGAATCAATATTACTAATATTACTATAAGAGTAGAACTCTTAAATTGAACGAGATAAAAAATAAAAAACTAAACCTCAATAAAAGAAATTCAAATTGTATAAGATTTTGATATACACAAAACCTATTAAAATCAAATTGAATTAATATGTTTTTTTTTAATTCCATTTGGTTTATCCATTTTGACCAAATCCTGCTAATCTCTAATACTACTGATTATTGGATTAGTTTTTGTATATTGAAATTAATATTTTTTGGGTTGGTATTAAACAAAGCATTCCCAAAGAAACTAATATATTCACAATAAATTACTTTTCGTGAGCTTTTTTGGATTCAAATCCTGAACAATATCGCGAGAAATAAATCTTTTTATTTAGCAGACTAATTAAGT